CCACACAAGAAAAGTTTCATCAATGAATCCTAAAAATTCATTTTTTAAGCTTTAGTTTGATATAAAACTTGTTTACATTCCTCAAAGTTGAAAATTTGCTAAATCTGAAAAAAAGTCATGGAATTGCCCATTTATTCATGTATGTCTGTATTAATTAGTTCATCAATCAATTCTTAATTTATTATTTTATACTTCCATTCATAGTGGTTTTTACGTATTGTCATATCAAACCTACCTATGGGCAAATCATATACTTATTTATCAATTAATCAATCAATCAATCAATCAATTAATCAATCAATCAATTTATCAACAAGCATTTGTATAGTGCTAACATCCAAGGTAGAATGCAATGTCCAATGGCACTATTGGGGGGGGGGGCGGTTGGGGTGGTTATTTAAAGGCCACTGGCCACTTACAAAACAATACATTTAACAACATTTTTTACATTTTAATAAATATATTGAGCATATTAATAAAAATAATAGGCACATTGGAAGTTTTACCCGTAATGTTGTGATTTTAAAAATTATAACTGTATCTCCGGTCTGCTAAGGGCAAACATATTTCGCCCCTAAAAATTTACCTTGCCTCATAGATTTCAGATGCAAACTTTTTTATACAGTACCTTGTTCTGCCAAATTTTTTGTTTTTTTAAGATTTTCAGAAGAGGGTGGAAAAAATATAAAAATAAAATTCTGACCAAGCTCACAAGGGCTGTAAACTGGTCCGCAGGCATAGAACATATCATTTACTTTAAAATGACAGTTAATGAACTCAATCGGGTGTCTGGAAGCAAAGTTATGACTGTTTGAATAATTGTCATCTTATCAACTTTCTTAAATCAAGTTTTGAGAAAAATGCTTTTATTTTCGGCAGGTTTCTATTCATTTTTCACTAGCTCCCATACGAAAATGGCTACATTTTACCTCTTACAGTTGGAATTTTAAACTCAAACTTCAGGAATAGTAAGATTAAAAGTTATACTTTATTTATTACACAAAAACACAATTCACACAAAATTCACGTTGTACGCCCTATTCTGGCTATGGAGGCTTGTGCGAGTTTACAGCCCTTTTGTGAGCTTGGGTCACAAATAGTTTCCTTACTTAGCAAATAGTTTTGTCAAAACATCCAGATGGATTTAATTCAAAATCATACATTATTGGCTAAACAGGGTATAAAAAAAAGTTAATTAACAATGCTACAGTATATATATATATATATTATTGTAAGATTCACGCAAAATAACCAATTTACATTTCTCATACTGTAAATAATGTGGTAGTGTGGATAAAGCCTCCGAAGGGAAAAGGTAAGATACTTACCACCTTGAACAACATCTCATCAATTCCAATGGCAGATAAAAATCTATCCCAATAACTCGTATATTCGGTGTGTTTCACACTTTGAATCATGTTCTTCATTATGTAGAGAGCGTCAGATGTGTCTCCCTTTTCTGAAACATATTTGCGTAGTGTCGCTACTTCACCTGACGTCAAGTAGATATTCACAATGTCTGATGGCAGAAGCTTTAGAAAAAAATCACAAAGAATAAGTTTTTCTTGCCAGTAAATGCGGTGGCCATAGTGGGGGGGGGGGGGGGGGGGGTGTGAGCTGGCTGGGCTCACCCCCTAAATTTCCGCCCTTAAATTTTTATCAAAATTATATAAAGAATGGAGAAAAAAATAAAATTCAAGTTTGAGAGTGCCATTTCCGACCCTCTAGAGGTGCATATTCATAAATTTTCTTACTAAACCACGGTGGGGCGGAGGTGGGTGGACCCGCTATGTGTGAAAGTCCCTCCCTGGGCTCCTCTATTTTAAATTCCTTGATCCATCACTGTAATGAAAAATGATCTACATTTGTAGTATTCCAACAAACCTAGAAGACTCATCTGAATTGACCCTTGAAATAAGTTACATAAATAAAAAAGATAATAAAGTAATCAGTAACTTCTTCAATCTAAATTCAGTGGTAAAGGTTTGTGGGAAAAGTCAAACATGACAATACCCAACAAGTGCTGTTCTCTGCTAAATGTATCTAATCTATGTATCTAATATAATAAATAAATTTATCATTTTTATTACTGATTACTGATAATATGTTCTTCATATCAAAGTTTATACACATAGCTACTTGTAAAACATACATAACCTGATAAGGGTCTATGACTGAAAGATCTTGTTGATTCAATCTTCAATAAACTGTAGCAAATTTCAGACTAGGCCTACATCTTTCTTTTCCATCTAATTGTAATAATAAACCCAACCGGGAGTGGATTCGCTTTTAGCCATGAGAACAAAAATTTTAATGAAAAGTGTTTTTAGTGTGTTTTGAATTGTGTTGGGTTTATTGTTTGATCATTTTCGTGTACAGTAAGTTTTTTTTAATTGCAATTAAATTGTAAATTTTATGTAATTCAGCTACCTTGCGACCAATAAATTTTAAATAAAAAAAAATAAATAAAAAAAATTCATAGCGTTGTACAGTAGGACTTAAACCTAAAACCCTGGGACTGGAAGGCAAGCATTTTAACCACTAATCTACAGCTCCACTTGCATTTTTTGATGTGTTATTTTTCTGAATAAAAAAAACGTGATTGATTAATTAATTAATCACTTACACAATCATAATTGAGGCAATCCATTGACTCTAAGAAGTGCCGTACAAACTGCTTGAAATAACCATCTTCAATCTTCTTTTTCGGAAACCATTTTAAATTCTGGGGAGCACTTTGCTTATCCTCAATCTTCTCTTTTATGTCAAGCTTCTCATTGAGTATATTATTATCCGCAAGACACAACTCAAGCTGTGTACGAAGCTCCTGCATCTCAAAGACATCAGGATGTGGAAACTCCTCAACCTGTAGTAAATTTAGACGGGTTAATTATATTTACAAGTATAGCCTCTGTCAAAAAATCTGAATAAACCTTTAAAAAATGTATATAAAATAAAATTGAAAATACATTTTAAAAGTGTAAAATTGATTTTAATTCTAATGAATCTGATTTACAGACGCATCAATAAAATAATATACCATACATAATGCCCTGTCCAGACTATAAAATTATATTTGACAAAAACATGTGACATGTCTAATATGGTTATGGTGACATCACATCATGACCATATATGGGCACATCATGACTATATATGGGCACATCATGACTATATATGGGCATACAACAGTTTGTTATCCAAGAAAATGTGATAGTGTCGACAGAACACTACAGTACATAAGAAATTCAAATATTTAATTTTATTAACATTTTTAGCACTTCACAGACAGTAAATATTCAAATAGACAATTGATGGCCTAAAAATTTACCAGTATTGGTGTTAATTTTTAAAAATGTAATCAATATATTTATATACCACAACTTGATTGCAAATTTTATTCTCAAGTGTTTTTTGGAGGGGGGTGCCTGGGAGACCACCAGCCGGTGTCTGTGGGCATGGTCACCCAAAATCTGTTAGAGAAATGGTCTGGAGGGGGAGGGGGTAGCTCCAGTAAACTATGACAATTTAGAGGTCTCAAATGCTTATTTAAACAATTTTAGAGTCTACTAATATGTAAGAACTACATAAACTGTTGGTTGGCTACAATACCTTCTTTTTTGGGATGTTGTCTGTTATACCCATATCAAATGGGTCTACAAAATCTTGATTATCTACATCGCTGTCGGTTTCAAGTCCATCTATACTGTCCCCTTCAACAAGTATTCGTTGCTGACATACAAATACAATGATAAGAGGGTAAATCCCAAATGCTATGAAACTTCTCAAGAGCTCCATCTCAGAATCAAATCCTGGATAAAAATTAAAAGAAAGTTACAATCAGTGAACAGAAGAACGATTTTCAATCAGGTCAGGAGACAAGTCTGAAAATCAGGAGTCTCCTGGTCAAATCAGGAGTGTTGGTATGTATATAGTTGTATAATTGAAGAGCACATGCTGCGGCTAAGCAGATGATCTGCCAGATGACAAGCCAGAATCATAGTATAACTTAGTCTAGCCTACAGATTACAGTAGGCCTAGACTAGGCTAGGCTACTCAGCCAAGAAAGATAGCCCTACCTTAGGATAACAATTTTCTTTAGCCTAGTCTACCTAGGCCTAGCCTAAATCTACAACAGACGCCTAGCCTAGCCTTCTTAAGGCCTCCTCCTAGGCCTAGTCTCCTATATAGGCTATACTCTAGCCTAAGCCTTACTTAGGCTAAAAGGAAAGCCCCCATGTTTATAATAATTAACACAATTCACTTACAGCTACCGTAGGTTTAAATCACTATAACAGCTTCCTTGTGTAAGTCAAACGGGATGTCAAATGAAAGAGATTGAACACAAAAGCCTACGTAGACATAAAGTGACTAGGCGAAACAATCCAAGGACATTCAAGTCCGGGAAGGATGTCTTTCTTGCAGTCCGAGGAACAACGTTGCGATATACCAAAGATACTTAATTGATGGCCTAGAAACACAACAAACGCCACCATGCTATTTCCCCGATTACCGGTTCTATACAGTACAGTATTGTTTTGAAATCTAATTTCTACGGTCACCGTGGCTGTTTCTTCATGACGAGCAAATTCGAGCAAAGTCACTTTTATTTGTAAATATTTGAATTTCATTACTGGATGCACCGACAAATGTTAAGTGCCACTGTTCAAAGTCGAATGTTAAAAGTGAGGTTTAAATTTTTTCCCAGTTTCATGATTTAGGGTCTATGTCTAATGATTTTTAGACCGGGAATGATCACTTATAGATTGGAAGTTTGTTAGCATGTAATAGTATTTTAATGTAAATTTTTATTTGTAATTTTATTGTAATACAAACAGTGAGTTTTAGCCTTGGGTGCCGTTTTAAATATTTTATACCAAAATAAATGAGTAAATAAATAAATAAATAAAATAAAATAAAAGATTGAATTTTATTGTCATGAAAAAATAAATAAAAAGAAAACGAAAAGAAATGAAAATGAACACAATTATTAATGATTTTATGTCTACTTGTAAATTCGAAGATTAACAAAATAACTCTTGTTTTGCAGTTATACTCTCATTTTATTTTCACTACCATTTTCTCATTACAACCCTTATATCAAGACTAAGGCCCCATAAAATATTATTAGTTTTTCACCCTATCAAAGAATAAAAAACTGATGAGGGAAGGGAAGATTTTTTCCCGCCCCCATTTTACCGATGTTTACAAGTAAATCAATAGGGACACATATAAAAAGTCATAAGAATGTATACTGTCTCTTATACACATCTAGATGTGTATAAGAGACAGCATTATTGGCTAAACAGGGTATAAAAAAAAGTTAATTAACAATGCTACAGTATATATATATATATATTATTGTAAGATTCACGCAAAATAACCAATTTACATTTCTCATACTGTAAATAATGTGGTAGTGTGGATAAAGCCTCCGAAGGGAAAAGGTAAGATACTTACCACCTTGAACAACATCTCATCAATTCCAATGGCAGATAAAAATCTATCCCAATAACTCGTATATTCGGTGTGTTTCACACTTTGAATCATGTTCTTCATTATGTAGAGAGCGTCAGATGTGTCTCCCTTTTCTGAAACATATTTGCGTAGTGTCGCTACTTCACCTGACGTCAAGTAGATATTCACAATGTCTGATGGCAGAAGCTTTAGAAAAAAATCACAAAGAATAAGTTTTTCTTGCCAGTAAATGCGGTGGCCATAGTGGGGGGGGGGGGGTGAGCTGGCTGGGCTCAC